TCGTACAGACCCAAAAAACGTTTCTTAAAGGTCTGTTGGTCAAGCCGAGATAGACGACATTCGGATTCTGTTGTTGAAACGAAGCTGTCGGAGTCGTCGGGGCCGATATGTGGCTCCAAACTCGGTCTGACTTTGTACCATTGCCAGGGCAACGGTACCACCATCCATGACTGAGGCGGTCTCTGTGAGGAGGGGAGGGTAGAGGGAGAGGCAGGACTGTGCTGATGAGTTTGCGTGATTGGAGAGACTGCAATAACCTACTAAGTCCAAGATCTGAATAACGTTGTAGGTGATGTTCAACTGCACAGCACCTCGGCAACTGGGGCAGACGTAGGGACGAGTGGTAAGGCTGCGTCTTGTCAAGAGGGTTTCCACGAGGCGCTCCTCGTAGCCTTTGTGAAAGGAAAGGAGGAAGAAGGGTATGTCCTTTAATAGGATTGAATGTCTTTTCAACTTACTCGATCCCAACATGTCTTCGTGGATAGCTGAATCAAGTGAAAACATGTAATGGGCTCGCTTATTTGGCAGATGAATGGTGCTTTTCTCGCACATGCAGGTCGCTAAACGTGCCTAGAAAATGTCGAGCCCAGGTTACGTGGGCTCAGTGGAGAACATCAAAGGACCAAAGGTGCGGTATCACCACTACACGAGGCAATTTGATGGACTTGTGGTGAAATTTTAATTATTATCTACAGGATTTTCATTAGACTTTCGGATTTAATGAAATGGTGACATTTTGAGCAAAACTCGCGCTTTTGTTTCCCTCTTTGTGAGCAGATTTGGTATCGGTCAGATGGAAAAGACGCCTCGACGTAATCACCGTCTTGTTGGCTACGAAGGAAAGCCATAAACGCACAATTATGCAAAATGCTGGTTTGGTCCACAAAAGAAGTGTTCGTGTGGCACAGTCTGCGGAGCTGTGGCATGACCTTGCTTTTCGATGGCAAAGTTGGTTGGGAGAAATTCGTGATCTTGTCTCCACGGAAACGGCAGGAGGATTACCGCGTAGAGAAGACTGCTGTATTGTGCAAAGAAGTCCTCTGCTCACCGTCCTGTATGAAAAAGCGACTAAACTTGCCGTCGGTCATCTTTACTATTGGCTTCGTACATGTTTGCTCTATTTCGTGAGGCTCTGATGATGCCTGTCACGGCGGTAAAGACGAAGGCCTTGCGCAGTTCCATCGGGGTCGCAGGACAGTCGGCCAATCACTTCTTCGCACAACCCAACAGTCTTGCCTACGTGGAAATCCTTCTTCGGTTTCCGGTGAGAAAACATCAAGAATTCCTTTCAACCAATTTTCCCTTCGAAATGGAAAGTCTTGTCACAATATATCGCTAGGGACTTCTTTGAAGCTCAGTTTTCCTTCATATCTGTCCAATGACATGACGCACACACAAGACACATTTGACTTTAAATGTGTAACTGTAGGTCGTAGATATGAAGACGAAGAAGTTGTAGCCTCATGTTTGGTCGCGGTTTCATTTTGATGTATAATATTGGTTTGGTGTCGTTTTCGCAATTTGGTCGGAGCGACAACCACAGAATAGTCAAAATGAGAAATATGGTTTCGATCATTATGACGTAATAAGCTTTTTTCGTGAATAGATTACCAGTTTTCACTCTATTTCGTTTAGGCTGATGGAGGACTGGTAGTTGAATTCTCCAACAATCTTGTGAGTAGAGCTGATATTTTTGCATTGAATTGCACATAACCTTGCTTGTCAAAAAGGTATTATCATCCAGGGTGCTAGGGCGAGAAAGAAGAAAGCTTAGTACCAGTTCTTGGAAGGTTGGCAGGACAGTAAGATGAGGATTTGTTCGTACAATTCAACAGTCTTCCATACGTTGCAATCCTCCTTCGGTTTCCGGTGAGACCACATCACGAATTCCTTCCAATCAGCTTTTCCTTCCTATTGGAGGGTCGTGTCACAATTTATCACTAATGAATTCTTCGAAACCCAGTCTTCCTCCATATCTGCGTTCTACCACAACTGTTTAGAACACGTTTAGCTCAAAGGATCGGCTTCACTTGTCTCTTTTGACGAGTTGATGTGTGGTGCTAAGAATGGCCAGACTCACTGACGATGCCGGTGAAACGTCTGCGAATGTACCCCGTCCAGGGTGCTACTCTGGAAATGATGATGCATACAATGGACTCCGGACGAGGTGCGCTTCTCGAAGTCTTCCTACCAAAATGACCAATTTGCGAAAACAAGGTCAAACAACTTTTATACAAATATTTGCAGCCTAATTTTTCACATGCATTTCTTCCATTCATGGTGCAGGCTGTGGCAGATATGAAAAGTATTGAATTTCCATGACGTCATTAAGATAACATTGCTTGTGAAACTTTTTAATGTATATAGGAGCATGATTAGGTGATTGGTTGGTAGATCTCACCGAAAGACGACGACTGCTGTAGACGACTAGCTTTAATAGCACGTTCAGGTTGATGCAGTCCACGAGACATTCTCATTCGTTTCGGGTAGCGACGAGCTGAGCTTTCGTCCATCAATTGACGAACATCATTAATACTGAAACTAATTTTATGCAAAGTGTCAAGTTAACAAATGCTGAGTCAAGAATATGAGATGTGTCCACCCTATTTCGGTTAAAGTGATTAAGGACTGTAGATACGAAGAGAAACTGGGTTTCGATGAATCTTCTGAGATAACTTTGTTAGAGGGACCTTCATTTCGTATGAAAGTGCATGAAGAAGAGATTCGTTGGTCGATCTCATTGCACTGCAGCCGGTTGGATTGTCTAGGATATTCATGTTGACGCAGTCCACGGAACTTCCTCCCTCGTTTCGGGTGAAACGTGCTGAGCTTTCGTCCATCAAATGATGGACATCATCAGAGCTGGGCGTCATTCTTGTAAAAGTCAAATGTTAACACACACACACACATACACTCGAGCAAAAGTTGCAGAACAAGTATGAAAGATAATTATCCAAACCACTCTATATCCATCTAGGTTTTTAATTTTTAATTTCTTTTGG